AAGGGGAGAGTCCAGCAGAATCCATGATTTGAGATGATGATGCTGGGATTCTGGAAAGACAGAAGTGGCCAGAGTTTACAGAACAGAGTATGAGGAGAGGAGAGCACTGTACAGAAAGAACTGCAGACACCTGTGGAGAGGGCCCTTGAGTCTTCAGTGCAGTACTGATCAGCATGTGCATGTGATAAAACTCCCTGTGATCAAGGAAAGAACCACCCAGGATGCTAAACCAGTGAGAACAGACAGTACACCCCATCTTAACCAAAAGGCAGAGAGGCAAACACTCAAGAGTGTTAGAGGAGATAGTGTCCTGAACTTATGTGGGAGCAGGAAAGACTTCTGTCTTACCAAACATAAATGCTTATGATTTATGGGGCATTGAGTAGAGTGCACAGAAGACCCGTGCCTCAGTGACAGGGAATAGTTAGTCCAAAATTGAAAATTTCTCAGGTCTGCCTAAAAATCTTGAAAGCAAGGCCTAAAACATCAAACTATTTCCACATAACTCAATACATTCCAGGAAAAAAGTCCAAGAAATATTTAGCACATATCAAGGTTGAAACCAGATGCCTGGCATTAAATAAAATTATCAAACATGAAAAATAACACCGATTAATCAACAGCACGTGATATCAACCAAGATCTAGCATAAATGTTAAAGTAAGCAGACAAAGGTATTGAAACAATTAATACAGGTGTGAAATATATGGTCAAACCATTAGGTAGGGAAACTAAAGACATAAAGAGACTCAAATTTAACTTCTGGAAATGAAAACATGATATAGATGTGAAAAGTACACTGCATACAACTACTAGACTACTAGAAAAAGAAAAACTTAGTGAATTTGAAGACAGAGCAATGCAAATATTTCAACAGAGAAAACATAGAGGAAAAAACAGCCTCAATGGGTCAACCCCAAGTAGACCAATGTTCAAAAAACTGGAATCACTAAAAAGAAAATGTATTAACAGAAAAAAATGTCCATTAAAAACAATGGCCAAAAATTGTATAAATTAGAAAAGAACTTTAAACCACACTCCCAAAAGGGTCAAAACACCTCAAGCAAATAAAACACAAAGAAATCTCTGTAGAGATACATTGTAATAGCTTGCTCAAAACTAGTGATAAAGGGAAAATCTTTAAAGAAGCCAGGGATAATATATATCTTGCATTCAGAAGAAAAAGATAAAGTTGGCAGCATTTTTTTTTTTTTTTTGCAGAATTAATGTGAGAGAGCAGACCTGAAAAAACATCTTTAAAATATTGGAAGAAAATCTGTCAAAATTAAATGATCTTTCAAAATTATTTTTCAAAAATGAAAGCAGATATCTTTGCAGACTTACTAGAGCTAAAAGAATCCATCACTAGCAAAGATGAACTATTAAAAAAATATTCAAGAAGGAGAATGATATCAGAGAGAACTTTGGATCTATACAAAGGAATTAAGATAATCAGAAATGGTAACAACATGGATAAATATTTAGGATAGTTTTCTTATTAGTTAAATTCCTTTAAATATAATTGACTTGAAGCTATAATAATAATATAGAGTGAGATTTACAATATATGTAAAAATAAATTATATGCAATGATAGGACATAAGTCAGAAAGGGACAAATTATATTATTTTAAATATTTATACCTCCACCAACTGGATTGCCTTGGGTAAAAACATCTATCTTCTCTGAATCTGTTTTCTCACCTGGAAAAGATAAGACAATGAAATTATTATTTCAGAATTAAATGAGGTCATCAATGTAAAAGAAAATTATGCTCTATGTTCAGCAGTATTTCACGTAAAAGTAGACTGAGGCCAGTTGAAAGTATTTTCCCCAAGCCCTAAGCCTTACAGCTTCTCCCTGAAAGGAGTTTGTCCACACATCAAGCACCCCAACTTCTACAGCTCCTGTGTTTAATGGAATTCACTGGTAAAGCTCTGGGATCTGGACTTTTATTTGTGGAATGCTCTTTCATTACAAATTCAGTTTTTAAACAACACATATTAAGGCTCTTCTGATTTTTAGTATTTTCTCTTAGGCTCATTTCGATAAGTTGTTCCTGTAAAGGAATTTGCCTTCTATATTAAAGTTATTAGATTTTTTTGCATGAATTAATAAAATATAATTATCCCCTTAATAGATACAAGAACTACAATATCTTTCCTCTTTGAATTCTGATATTGGTGATTTGTGCTTATCTATTTTTGGCTTGATCAACCTAACTGGAGCTTTATCAATTTTTTTAAAACTTTACCGAGACCTAACTTTGATATTCCTGTATTGTATTTTCTGTATCCTATTTTTTCTGTGTGTTCTTTTTTTAAAATAATGTTTTAGTTGTTGATGGACATAATACCTTTATTTTATTTATTTATTTTTATGTGGTGCTGAGGATTGAACCCACTGCCTCATGCATGCAAGGAAAGCACTCTGCCACTGAGCCACAATCCCAGCCCTACTGTGTGTTTTTAACAGTGTTTTTGCAGAAGTTTTTATTTTTATGAAATCCAACTTATCAATTTTAATCTCATGAACTTGATGTTGGTGTTGTATTTTAAAAGTTATTGCAAAATCCAAGGTTACCTAGATTTTCCCCAGTATTATCCTCTGGGAGTTTTGTAGTTTTGCATTTTACATGTACATCTATGATCCATTTTGAATTAATAGTCTGGAATCACTTGTTGCAAAGACCATCCTTTCTCCATTAAATTACCTTTGCTCCTTTGTCAAAAATCAGTTCTATATAACATAATTATAGTTACAGGTGGATTTAAGTCTATCCTCTTGCTCCTCATTTTCATTACCTAGTCTTTTCTCTGTTCCTCTTTATCTCATTCTTTGGTATTAATTGAGTTCTAAAATATTATTTCTTTTTATCTCTTTTTAGCTCTTTTTTTTTAAAGTGGTTGCTGTAGCACCCGAAGTATTTATCTTTAACTTATTACACTCTCCCTAGAATATAAAGCACACCACTTCAAATGAAACAGAATCTGATATCAGTGTGCTTCCGTTGAACCCCTACCCTTCTCATTTCATACTGACATTTTCACTTCTTCATGTGTTAAAAACCTCACAATAACAGATGTCCGTATGTAGAATAATAAACTTGACCCCTGTCTCTCACCCTGCACAAAAGTCAACTCAAAGTGATTCAAAGATCTAGGAATCAGACGAGAAACTCTGCAACTCTGAGATGAAAATGTGGTCCAGCACTCCAACATATTGGTACAGGAATCAACTTCCTTAACAAGACACTTAAAGCACAAGAAATAAAACCAAAAATCAATTAGTGGGATGGTATCAAATTAAAAAGGTTCTGCAAAGAACCTTTATTTATTTATAAATAACTAGAGCCTTTCTTCTATTTACTCATAGTTTTTTAATTTAGTGAAATATATATATATATGCAAAATTCAATATGGTAACTTCATATATGTATATAGGATAGTTTGATCATTTCATTCCCACCTCCCTGCCTCTTCCTATCCCTACTCCCTCCCCCTCTCTTCCTTTCTTCTACTCCTCTGATCGCTCCTTTATTTTCATGGGGTTACCTACCCCCACCCCCCATCTTACTTTGGTCTAGCTGCACAAATAAGAGAAAACATTTGACTCCTGATTTTCTAAGCCTGTTTTTTTTCACATAGCATGATATTCTCCAGTTCAATCCATTTACCAGCAAATGCCACAATTTTATTCTTCCTTTTGGCTGAGTAAAACTCCATTATATATACATACCACATTGTCTTAATGTTTTATCTATTGATGGGCATCTGGTTCCATAACTTGGCTATTGTGAATTACATTGCTATAAACATTGATGTGGCTGCACCCCTATAGTATACAGATCTTAAAATGTCTTTTTAAAAATATTTTTAGGTGTAGATATCTTTTTAAAAATTATTTTTCAAGGTTAATTTTGCTGAATATAGAAATATTTGTGGATCCATTATTTTTCTCATCCCTTTAAACATATTTTAATGATTTCTCACTTGCATTATTTTTTCTTACAAAAAAAGCAGCCATTATTTTTATGTTGTTCCCTTTTGTATAATGTGTCTCTTTTTCTCTGTTTGATTTTAAATTTTTATTTCTTTCATTCTTTTTTGGTTTCCAGAAGTTTAACTGTAAAATGCCTGTGTTTATTTTTATTTGTTTGTTTTTCTACTTTAGATTCATGAATTTTTTTGAATTCATAATTGAGGATATTCATCAAATTTAAATATTTTTGTTCCTTTGATGCTCAAATATTTCTATCCCATCCATTCTTTTCCAGTGACTGCTTGATATTATTCCAGTGATTTGGGGTGCCATGTTAATTTTTTCAATTGTTTTCCTTTTTGTGCTTCAGTTTGAATAATTTCCCTTGATCTGTATTCAAATTTATGCATCCTTTCTTCGATGTCCAATGTGCTAGTAGGTCCATCCACTTAAGTTTATTTCAGATAGTATATTTCCTAGTTCAGAATTAAATCTTTGGGGTTTATATTCTGTCCTGAAATTCTTCATTTCTTAGCCCATTATATTCATTTTTCTATGAATTTTTTTATCATATTTATTATGATTTTTAAGTCCTTAACTGGTAATCCCACTGAATGGATCATCTGTGAATCTCATTGTACTAGTTAATATTCTAATTCTTTTTTCCTGATTCTTCATATGTCATATAAACTTTTATTTTATTTCAGACAATAACACTGATCTCTGAAGTATGTGCTGCTCTCTTCAGTTTATGTCCTGGGGAAAGCAAGTTCATTTATCTGATGATCAGAGTAATCACCTATTTGCTCTAAAATTTGAGTTGAAACAGTCAAGGCCATGCCTAGGTTAGGGCAAGATATTTGATATCCGTACCTTAGTCACAGCTGGAGGTAGATTTGTAGGAGAAACATTGCAGACTCACCAGTGGATGGGAAATGCTTCTGTCTCTTTAAGTTTTCATCATCAGGCCCTCCCTACCTTCCTGAGCTCTGGGGTCTGAGTGACTTCTTCTGTGAGCTGGGCCAAAGGAACTTCCTGTGCTCACATCAGAAGGGAAAGCAGGAGGTCCTGCTTCTCAGAGCCACTCCAGAGCCTGTCACCAGGAAAGGTGAGCCTAAGTCTAGAGCTGGAGGGAGGAAGGAAGGACCTGATCCCTGGGGAGGGTTCCTGCTGTGCTCCCGACTCTACTAAGCCCTGTGCAGCCCACAAGGGCCATGTTTTGTCACTGTGCAGAGCAGCCAAGGTCGTGCTCCCAGGTTTTAAGAGATGATCCGAATTCCAAATAGAGCAAGTTCAGAGAAGGTTGGGGAGCATCTTCCCCAAGCACACACATTATGGGAATTATGGGAACTAAAACCTGTCTCTTCCCACGGTAAGTGCTGGATCTGCTTCCAAGAACAAAGCACAATTTAAAAGACATGAAACGTCCCCAGGTTGTATATTCAGCAAAGGCAAAGGATATTTCTGTGGCCCGTGAGCAATCTAACCTTGGGGCAGCAAGTTACTATGTGGAAACCTGGGTACACCTGAACTCTCCACCTCACTGACCACAGCAGGGGCCTTCAGGAGACATCTAAATCAGGACCTTGGTCTCCTATCCCTCACCCTCAATGTCCCTTAAATATCTGTTCCCTAATTCAAGCTTTTCCCACTCCAGCTGCAGAGACACCTCAATGTCCTCATCTATACAATGAAAGGATTTGAAAAATAACTGATTTCCAACTCTGAGTTATGGACTGACTACATCAGAAGGATCCCATTCTTTGAATCAGAATCTCTAATGGTGGGTGGGGGAAATGTGAATTTTGACAGAACACTAAAGTCATTTGAAAAACAAGTTTGGGAGGAAAGAAAATAATGAATTTTGACTTCTCCTAAAGTATTAAGAATATAGATTTGCACGTTTTATATTTGTGAATAATTAAGAACCACTTTCACCTCAGATGTCAGTGGGGCCTATTTCTCTCTTAAAAACTATTTAAAATAATATCAACCCCATTTGAAACTCTGTGGAAGTCCCACTGGCCTGGGTCCCCTCCAACATGCTCTACCACTTTCAGCTTTATCAGAGACTTCATCATCAGCTAAATTCTTCATCTTGTTCTATAATCTTGTGGCTGTTTCTTCATTTCCTGTTGATTACAGGAGTTTGTGGATTTCTATATGCA